GGGTGGGTGGGTGGATGGGTGAATGGATAGCTGCCATAGACCCTAACTCATAGTGACCTCATGGACAACAGAGTGAAACACTGCCTGATCCTGTGTCATCCTCATGATCACTAGCATGTGGAAATTCGTCTCATTGAGGGTCTCCCTCACCCTTGCTGACCTTCTGCCTCACCAAACATGATGTCCTCCTCTAACAATTTTAGTAAGACTGATCCTGTAACATTTATTGTTGATTTTCTGTGTAGGAGACCAAGGTTTTCCAGGGGCAAAAGGACCACCAGGTCATCCTGGAGAAATGGGGAAGCCTGGGTTCCCAGGACAGCCAGGCCTCCCAGGAGCCAAGGTCTGTGGGGCTTTCAGCTCAGCTGAACAGTGTGGAAGGGAGGAGCAATTGCAATAGGCCAGACAGGACACTCTGGGATGTAGAAATTATCCAGTATTTTTGTTGATGATGAAGAGTATCTTTACCTCTTAAAGATTTTTTTTTTTTTTTTTAATTTTCTCCGGACTATCCCTTTCTTTCAGAAAGGATAATAAAAGGTATTAGAAGACAGGTTTGCATTTCTATTTCTCCCTTAATGATCTCAGAAATTGAGTATTTTAAATGAGAGAAGTCCAGAAAGAAATGTGGATAGTGGATGGCTATGAGAGGAATTGAAAGTAAAAGACATCTAGATTCTTCGAGTTGTAGACAATTCCACAGTCTTCTGAAAAAGTGCTTCTACCTAGCCTGAAGAATTATTAAGCATCCTTCTGTAGAAAAATCAGCAACTTAGAAAGGTGATGGAACAATGGTAGCCATGCATAGGGATTTAGAGCCTCCGTAATAAAGATGATGTTCAAGTAAATAGCTAAAGACCAGTCAACAGTCAGTAAGGATTTGGAAGCACTATATAGCATAACTAACACAATTTCTGTGCAATAGGGAGAACCAGGACTAGCTGTGCCTGGAGAACCAGGAAAGCCAGGTTTTCCAGGGGAAAGAGGCAACTCTGGGGAACATGGAGAAATTGGACTCCCTGGACTTCTGGGTTTCCCTGGGATCCCAGGAAATCAAGGGCTTGATGGACCACAAGGTACAAGCTCCAAGTTGATTCTTTTTTCCCACTGTGAGCTCAGCTAAAATGCAGCAGGTTGAACGTAGTTGCTCTAAGGATGAAGAATCCTTCTCAAAAAAACTTCTAGTGCAACAAGCAGAGCCTAAGTATTCTCCATTTGGCCTCACTGCCCTACTTGCCTTCCTTCTTTCTTCCTTCTTTTCTTTCTGAAGAGTGTCCTCTATAAAAGATATGTTTATGGTATTAAATATAAGCTAGTTTAGGGGGGCAATTACAGAAGAATGATTAGGGTAGCAATTTTAGGACCTTGGTTTTTGTCACCTGGAGATATTCTTGGATTCTCTTGTAGGACATCCAGGACAACCGGGACCACCTGGAGAAAAAGGACCCCCAGGAAGGTGCATGGAGGGCCCCAGGGGAGCCCAAGGACTTCCAGGCTTAAATGGATTGAAAGGGCAACAAGGTAGGTGGAAGCTTGCCTCCAAACCAGTCACTAGGAGGGCAAGTGGCATTGGATTCCTGCTCTACACTTTGCCACTTAAGGTAGGAACTGTCCAACAAGCAGTCCTGACTACTGTTCGGTGAGAAGTGCTTTCTCAGAAATACAGGCCTTGCTGTTATGGATTAACAGCTCTGATGGTACAGTGCTTAAGGCATTTGATGGCTAATCACAAGGTTGGAGGTTCAAACCCGCCAGCCACTCCGTGGAAAGAAGACAGGGGAATCTGTTGTTGTTGTTGTTGTTATGTGCCCTTGAGTCAGCCTGACTCATAACGACCCCTCCTTGGGTTTCCAAGGTGGTATCAGTACAGAAGTAGATTGCCCAACCTTCCTTCTGAGGAGTGGCTGGTGGGTTTGAAATGAAAGCCTTCTAGTTCACAGTCAAGTGCCTTAGGCACTACGCTACCAGAGCTCCCACAGAGGAATCTACTTCCATAAATATTTACTCCCTTGGAAACCCAACAGGAGTTGTTATGAGTCGAAATCTACTCAGTGGCAGTGGGTTGGGTTTGGTTTGGTTTGTCATGTATTGGTTGCATAAAGTAGTATGTACTATCTACAGAGGAAAAGACCTGAAGTTAGTATGACAAGCTGGTTTGTGTCTTTTACCAAGAAAATATGAACACTGAAGACATATATGCACACACACACACACATACATATATATATGTATTTGTTGTTGTTGTGTGCCATTGAGTCAATTCTGACTCATACCGACCCTATAGGACAGGGCCTAACTGTTCTATAGCATTTCCTAGGCTGTAAATCTTCGCAAGAGCAACCCACCAGGTTTTCTCTCCCATGGAGCGCTGCTGGTGGATTCGAACTGCTAACCTTTTGATTAGCAACTAAGCTCTTAATCATTGCACCATTCTTAGGAAAATGCTTAATTAAAATAGAGTAAATGTATGCAAAGATAACAGTTTAACATGTAATACTTTATACTTGATCACTTTACAATTAGGGTAAAAAAATCATAACATAAATCAAAATTATGCAGTGTAGGTATTCCAGATTATGGGGAATTTACTTTTTTTTGGGGGGGAGGGTATTCCTGTCAACCAAATCTTGTGAACTGTTGCTAGAAAAAATCATTTATAGCTCAGTTCCTGCCTATGGGCTATCTTACTGCATTTATATTCACGAAATTTTTTTTGCCAAAACTTTGGTTGTCATGTTGTTGCTGTTGTTACATGCTGTAGAATCGGACCTGACTCATAGCGATCCCTCCTTGGGTTTCCGAGGCAGTATCACTACGGAAGTAGATTGCCCCATCTTCCTTCCGAGGAGTGGCTGGTGGGTTTGAACCGCCAGCCTTCTGGTTAGCAGTCAAGTGCCTTAGGCACTACGCTACCAGAGCTCCCTTAGTTGTCATAGTGGTGCTGTTATTGTTGACAGAGCATTCAGTGGCTCACCTTCATGTGAATCAAAGAGGCTGTGTGTGTCTTCTACAGGTTAAACACATAAAGTGCAGTCCCAGGATGCACCTACAGGGCTAGAAAACAGATCTAAATACTGTACTTATATTTCTGCATGAGTTATTGAAACAATGTTACAGCTAGAAGTGATCTTAGGGAATTTACAAGAGTGATTAATCAGTTGCATGGATAAGTGTGTAGTTTGCCCAGAATCATACAGCTGAATATTTATAGCCATAAAATATTGCTGGAGTTGGTGGGGAAAACAATGGTTTTCAAACTCATTCATTCATACATAGGAAGAAGAGGTGAAACAGGTTCCAAGGGAGACCCAGGTGTTCCAGGCTTGGATAGGTCAGGACTTCCTGGAGAACCTGGGCCACCAGGAATACCAGGTCACCAAGGTGAGATGGGACCACCAGGTCAAAAGGGATATCCAGGAAACCCAGGATTTTCAGGACTGCCAGGTATCTATCCATTTTTGTGGTCTTGTTTTTCTTTTTATATTTTCTTCCACACTTACTCTATAAGGTGGCCTTATAAATTGAACATAGGCATAGACCCTTGACTCTATAATTTTCTTTTAGTTGATATAAATATCTTCTTCTGAACTATTTGTAAGGGAAGAGGACAGGGCAATGGTATTGGTGGGATGAGCACATGTCATAATTACTCAGGCTATAGCAAATCCTTTTTATATATTATTTAATTCAGTTTGCTAGTATTTTGTTGAGGATTTTGACATCTATATTCATAATAGGATATTGGCCTATAGTTTTTGTTTCTTGTGATACATTTTTCTGATTTTGGTATCAGGGTAATATTGACTTCATAGAATGAGTTGGAAAATGTTACCTTCTCTCTTATTTTCTAATAGTTTTGAAGAATTGGTATTCCTTAAACATTTGGTACCACTCCCCCGTGAAGCCATTTGGGCCTGGACTTTTCTTTGTAGGAAGTTTTAAAAGCACTAATTCAATTTCTTTACTTGTTATAGGTCTGTTTAGATATTCTATTTCTTCTTGAGTCAGTTTTTGGAATTTGTGTCTTTCTAAGAATTTGTCCATTTTGTCGAAATTATCTAATTTGTTGTCATACAATTGTTCATAATGCTCCCTTATAATCCCTTTTGTTTCATAGATACTTTTGTAGCATATTTGGGGAGAATATTTAAAGAGTTTCTTTGTGGCCTAGGATCTCACTGATCATTTCTGAGAAAAGTTTAGAATAACAACTTAATCAACAATTTTTTCTTCATTCATAGTATTGGGTTGCTATCATGTGCCAGCACTGTTCTAGTCAATAGGGACACATAAGTGGACGAGACTCCACCTCCCATAGTGGGAGAGACAATAACAAATAAATTCATTAAAAACCTATGTTCAGTTTCCATAAATGTGATTTGCTACCATGACTTCCAAATAGATGATATAAAGAAGACCATTTACCCATTTGTCTAAGACCCATCTCTTAGACAAATTGGTTATTTTCCTAATTAAGGAGACCATTGCATCAACTCCCAGACTCTCTTTTGAAGTCTAAGTCTAATTTGTTTTATTTAGGGGCTATTTTGCTTTTCTTGTTCTGCACAACATGTTCTGCTTTACATTCAACTGTTTCCCTAGGGCAAAAAGGAATGGTTGGAATGATGGGCTTTCCTGGAAATATCGGCTCTCCAGGACCTCCTGGGAACCCAGGACTTCCAGGACAGAGAGGTGAGTGAGAGTTTCTTCCCAACTATTAGGATGTGTGAACAATGTTTATTTATTCAGCAGCAAAATAAGTCAGATTTCATCCTTTGGGGGAAAAGTTGTTCTGATAGAAGAATGTGTTAGATGTTGCTCTTTTCTCTTTTCTTAATTCCATGAAATTATGTCCTCTCCCTACAGGTTTATATCACTATCATTGTATTGTTGCCTGTTTTAGGAAATGACTTATTAACTTCTCAACACTGTTAACTTTTGAATCTTTATGAAAAATTTAAAGACTTCTTAAAGACTTAAAGTCTCCCGTCTTTTAGGTAGCCTTGGAATTCCAGGAATAAAGGGTGAGAAAGGAGCTCCAGGAGTCAAAGGGGAGCAAGGAGCTAAAGGAATCCTTGGGCCTTCCCAGATGTGCCACTTAACAGGGGACAAAGGGGAGCCTGGTCTCAAAGGTAAGACATTTCCTGTGGTTTGAATCAGGACAGTTGTGCTAATTCTGGACCTAAGATGTTATCCAGGGAAATCCCTTTAGTTGATACATGAGGATGCTGAAGCCTAATACTCAGTGACCTGCCCAAAGTCACTCAGCCAGTTAAGTGGCTGAGTCTGGGTTAGAACTGGTCTTATGTGCCCTCCACAATAATATGTTGCCTCCCTCATGCAGAACTTTCTAAGTTCATTCTGCATTTTGGTCTGTGGTATTTATATTGTCACTAGTTAATTTCTAAATTATAAACCTCTAAACCAAAAACCAAACTCACTGCCATCAAGTCGATTCGACTCATAGTGACCCTACCTTGTTTTTCTGAGGCAGTATCTCTACAGAAGGAGATTGCCCAATCTTCCTTCTGAGGAGAGGCTGGTGGGTTTGAACCGCCAGCCTCCTGGTTAGCAGTCAAATGCCTTAGGCACTATGCCACCAGAAGCCTCTAAATCCCCTTGTATCGATTATGGTAAAAATTAAACCCCTAGAAAATTCCACATTTAAACATTTCCCTGGCTGAAATTGAAACCTCCACCCCAAATTCCACTTTATTCTGTCAACTACCAGGATTAATTTTTCTGATTGCATTTAAAAATTGCTTCTCATACTCAAATCACTCAGAGAATAATTGTTAGAAATTATTTAGAAATGGTGTTAATTATTAAGCTTAGCTATTAGGGTGATATTCAAGCCCATTCACTTTATTCCAAGTTATTTGAACACCTTTTCATGATACCTCTTGTGATCTGATCAGTTAAAACCAATATAAAATCAATTTTTTTAAAGCAAAGTGTAGCCTTCCTCACAGTCTCCTTGACCAACCTTGATCCCAAGTAACTTTAGAAAAACAGATTCACTGAGTGAGATGTTACTGACTTTTGCAGATCAAACTTTCATAAACCAAGGAAAGAATAATGGGAAGATGTGTTTGCACTTGTAAATACATAACAAGTTTTGAGGTATTTGTGATAAATTTGAAGACATAAGATTATATTTAATGAATACTTATCAGCTTGGCACATAATGACTTACAGTCCAAGTAAAGATTTACTTTAAAAGATCTGCACAGAGTATAGACCTCTGAGACACTGAAAACTGTCCCTCTAGGAGTTAGGAAAGACATCACAGACAAGTGACATCTGACCAGGTTCTAAGAGGGATTGAACCCAACAAATTGACAATTTTTAAAAATGGATAATCATCAAAATACCAATTTATGGGAAGTATTTTCTTCCATAAAATAAAGTTAAGAAGTAAAAGATTTTTGGTTAAAACACATTTAACCTGGAGTCAAGGGGATAATTTAGTTCCAGGTACAAACAGAAGATTGCATTACATTTTTTAGCAATAAAAAAGAAACAAATACGAATATTATAAAACTCTGCTTACAACTGTTGTAAGCCAAGATATGAAGAGATTAATTGGCACAATTTTCCAGTCCCCATAAACTGTCTATATAGGCACAACTTTACTGGATAATTCTAGATAATTTACATAGTTTGGGAAACATTTTGGTAAAAAATATGCTTATCATATCTCCATCCACATAGCTTAAATTTGGCTCTCACATATTACATGAACCAACAACCAAAACCAAGTCCACTGCTGTTGCGTCATTGTGACCTGACTAGCCAGAGTAGAAGTGCCCCTTAGGGTTTCCAAGGCTGTAATCTTTGTGGAAACAGACTGCCACATCTTTCTTCCATGGAGCAGCTAGTGGGTTCGAACTGCCAATCTTCTGGTTAGCAGACAAAGTGCCACCAGGGCTCTTTCATCACATGAACAAAGGGTAGTAATTTACAAGTAAATAATTCTTTCTTCAAAATATAGAAGGGTATTGCTATTTCTATGCTTCTAACAGAATTCTTTTGCTCACCCCAAAGTATAATATGCAGAGCAGCCACATCTGTATATTATTTTCAAATGTGTAACCAAGGAGTATAGATGGAACCGCTCCCCGCAAAAAGAGCATCCTAGCCTGTGGTGGTGGTTGTGTGACATCAAGTCAATTCTGAGTCCTAGCAACCCCAGGTGACAGAGTAGAGCTGCCCCACAGGGTTTTCTTGGCTCTAATCTTCACAGAAGCAAATCGTCAAGTCTTTCTCCCATGGCGCAATTGGGTGAGTTCAAACCACTAACCTTTGGGTCAGCAGCTGAGTGCTTAAGCATTGAACCACCAGGGCTCCTTAGTGAACAATACAAGATATAAATTAATACTATTATATAATTTAACACAAACTTATATGGCATTTACCATGTGCAAGGTACTGTTCCAAGTTTTACAAACACTGACTCAATTAATCCTCTGAACAACCCTACCAGTAGATATTGTTGTTACTATCATCTCATTACACAAATGGGGAATAGAGAAGTCCAGTTACTTACTTATTGTCACTGTAATGGTAAGTGGCAGTGCCAGACCTCACATTGATTGTGGTTGGTTCCAAAGTCCATACACATCACATATGTAGGTGTATAGCATATGGAAATATCTTCAGGCAGACCTCAGAGTTATTGCAGGTTTGGTTCCAGACGATAAAGCAAATATTCTGATAAAGTGAGTCACATGAATTTTTTGGTTTCCCAGTGCATAGAAAACTTACGTTTACACTATACTTGAGTCTAATAAGTGTTGCAAGAGCATGATGAAAGAGTTTGAAAATATTGTGAGAATTAACAAAATGTGACACAGAGACACAAAGTGAGCACATGCTGTTGGAAAAATGGTGCAGGAACGCTTGCTTGATGTAGGGTTAACATACTTCAATTTGTAAAAACGGCGCTCTCTTTGAAGTGCTATAAAGCAAAGTGCAACAAAATGAGGTTGCTTGTATGCGTACATATACATACAGATGTGTGTGTGCACACAATATATGCATAGAAGACACAGTTACAGATACTTCTCAGACATAACCAAACACCTTGTGAGAATGGTTTTCTGGATTTGTAGGCTTAGGTCCTTAGTCTCATGGGACATTCAGTCAATTGGCATAAGATAGTCTACAAAGTTTGTATTTTGCATCCTAGTTTGGTGAGTAGTGTCTGGATCTTAGAAACTCGTGAGTAGCCATCTAAGATACAACTATTGGGTCTCTACTCATAGAGAGCAAAAGGGAAAGAAGGAAACCACAGTCTCAAAGAAGAACTAGTCTGCAGAGCTAATAGCCTTCATGAACCACAGCCTTATCTACCCTGAGACCAGAAGAACTAGATGGTGCCCAGCTCCCACTGGATGGTCCCTGATAACATAAGAGAAAAAAGCCCCGACAGGAGACCAGCTGAGACTAGAGGATTCCCTGAGACTCTTGCCAAGAGATTTCTTTAAACCTTGAACCGAAACTATTCCCTGAGGACATCTTTTCATGAAATAAAAGATTAGGACACAAAATAAAGGATATTATCCAAGAGTTTGGTGCTGCATTGAAAAAAAAAAAATCATCTATTTGAGATCAAAAAGTCAGCAATTACCCCAAAGCAAAGATGAGAAGATAGGGGTCTGGAAGCTGGAGGACCGGACACGGACCAACCAGAAGGTGGTTACGGAGCATGTGGACACATTGTGAAAAATGGAAATAATATCTCCGAACAATTTGTGTAGAATTTGTCAAATGGGACCTAATTTGCTGTGTAAACTTTCACTGAAAACAAGGTAAAATGTTATTTTTTAGAACACTCCATATTCAACCTCCTGCCTGTGCTGCCAGGCACCTTTGACTGTACGCCCTGTAGAAATTGAGGGAAGCAGAAAGCACACCCATTGGCATAGCTGTGTGGAAGGGCAGCAAAAAGAGGAAGGTTCTCAGGGAGATGGGCTGGCTGCAACAATGGGCTTCAGCATAGTAACCATTATGAGGATGATACAGGACCAGGCAGGTTTTCATTGTGCTGTGCACAGGGCTGCTATGACTCACAGTCGACTTGACTGCACCTAACAACAACAGCATAGTGGGGAAGCCTCTATGGATGTAGATTTAAATTGTGAGTAGGATTCAGATGACCAAATAATAATACCTCTGGCTTCAGATCTTTCCCAAGGCCCCCTTTCTTTAAGAATTCAAATGTCTCACCTAGCATGGCATGCAAGTCTCTTCACCACTTGGCCTTTGCCTACCTCTCCAGGTACATGACACTTATGCCCTCAACAGTTCTTTTTTAATACCTATGGACTGGGCGTTTTACTATGTGCTGGATGCTGAGAGGTGAGCAGAGCAGATGCAGTACTCTGGCCGTGATGGAGTTTTGAGGTTAGTGGAGGAAGAGACATTAAGTGGTTCGTAAACTTTTTCTTTAAAGAGCCAGAATATAAATATCTTAGGCTTTGTGGACCATGTATGGTCCCTGTCTCATATCCTTCTTTGGGTCTTTTACTTGATTTTGTTTTTGTTCTTCTTCCTTTTACAATCCTGTAAAAATGTGAGTTTCCTTTAGCTCGCAAGCCATGCAAAACCAGGTCAGATGTAGCCCACAGGCTGCAGTTTGCTGACCTCTAAAAAAATTGAAGCAAATGCTATGCTTAACAATCTATATCTTTAGATTACATGAATGGAAATAATAGGTTATGGAAGAATGATTTACCCACCAGACACTCACCACTCATATAGTTTGTTTCTTTGTTAAAAAATTAAAAATTAAAAAAAAAACCCTTTTATTGTGATTTGGGTGGAAGTTTACAGAGCAAATTGGTTTCCCATTCAACAATTCATACCCATTTTGTTTTGTGACATTCATTGCCATCCCCATAGTGTAACAGCTCTCTTCCCACTTCCTCCCTGTGGTCACCATTTCCCTTTGTCCTTTCCTATCCCTTCCTGCCTCCTGCGCTTTCTCCCTGGACATTGCTGCCCTTTTGATCTTGTATGGTTGTCCTAAGGGGTGTGTACCTCCCTGGTGTGACTGTTCACCTTCTAAGCCTGTCTATCCCTTGGCTAAAATTGAGCTACGGGGTAAGTTGAGTTGCAGACCTGCAAGGTGACTAAGGGCCATAGTCTCAGGGGACATGCTTCTCTCTTGCCTGAGATTCACATTGCATTCCATGCTTTCTCAACCCAACTAATACCCCCTTGGTCTTCAAGACTGAGCAAAAAGAAATCCCATCCTCCAGAATTCATCCCTGATATATTGTGCACAACATTATTAGAAAACATATCACACTGCACAGAACTGCCTGTTCACTTGGCTGTCTCCCCACTTAGACACTAAACAACTTGGGGACGAGGAGTATGATTTACTTACTTACCTTTGTATCTCCAGTACCCAGCAGAAGACCTGTCTATTCATTAGATAGTCGATCCCTATGTGAATGAACGAATACGTATATAAGCAAGAAAATTGCCGAGGAAAGTGAATCTGCTTGAGAAAAGACACAAATCCAGGCCTTAGACAGATGGTCGACTGCTTCAGTGCCAGCAGAGGGAGTTCGTTATTTACTCTGTAGGTAACAGATTCAGGAGTCCCTGGGTGAATGGTTAAGTGCTTGACTACAAGACAAAAAGGTTAGTAGTTCAGACCCACCCTCCAAAGACAGAAGATCCCAGCCTTGAAAACCATACAGAGCACTTCTACTCAGAACACACAGGGTCACCATGAATCGAAATTGACTCCGTGGCAACTAACAACAGCAGCAACAGTAGAGTCAATGAACATTTTTGAGCAGGAGAATAATGTGATTGAAGCCATGTTTTAAGGAAAGTAGGATGGTGTCTGAGTTCCCCAGTGCTGCTGCTGCAGAAATACCTCAAATGGATGAATCTAACAAACAAATGTATTTCCTCTCAGTTTAGGAGCCTGGAAGACCGAGCTCTGGAGAAGGCTTTGTGTCTGTTGGTTCTGGCAGAACGTCCTTGTCTCTTTCAGCTTCTGCTCCTGGGCGGTCTTCATGTGGCTTGGCATTGCTCTTCCCCATCTCTGCTATCTCTGCTTGCTTCTCTTTGCATAATCTGCTCTTTTTCTGTCTCAAAGCTATGGCACAAAATACACCCTACCCTGATACAGCTTCTTAACGTAACACAGAAACCTATTCCCAAATCGTAGAGGGGTTAGGGTTTACAACACATGTGTCAGGGGGACACAGGTCAATCCATAACAGCCAGTGTCATGTGAGGTTTATGACGTTTCCAGCCTGCAGAACTGGGTTCAAATCTCAGAACTGTGACTGACTGACAATGTGACACCGGGTAAGATCACTGACTTCTGACAGTCTCAGTTTTCTCACCTGAATAGGCTGAGATTGCTTGAAGATTAAATAAGATATTATTGTAATAACAGCTAGTGTTCATTGAGGGAGCCCTAATGGCACAGTGTTAAAGTACTTGGCTGTTTACCATGAGGTTGGCTCTGCCAAAGAAAAATGTAGTAGTCTGCTTCTGTGAAAATTAAAAAAAAAATTTAAAAACCCACTGCCATGGAGTCCATCCCAACTCATAGTGACCCCTCCCTGGGTTTCCAAGGTGGTATCTCTATGGAGGTAGATTGCCCAAACTTCCTTCCTAGGAGTGGCTGATAAACCCACCACCCTTCTGGTTAGCAGTCAGATGCCTTAGGCACTACACCACCAGAGATTACAGCCTTGGAAACCACATAGGGCAATTCTGTTCTGTCCTGTAGGGGTGCTGTGAGTCAGAATCAACTGGATGGCAGTGAGTATGAGTTTGGTTTAGTGTCCTTTGAGGACTAAATCATGCCAGGCACATGCAATCTCATTTAATCCTCTTTGCAAAGAAGATATAAAGCCACATTTGCTCACATGCTCTTAAAAATACACCAAGCTTTATTACAGTAATGTCCCATCAGTGTCCACTAGGATGTGGAAGAGGCTGCTAAAATTCTAACCTGTATTTTTAATATGTGGTTTTGAACCTCAGGATTTGCAGGAAATCCGGGTCAGAAAGGAAACCCAGGCATTCCAGGGTTACCAGGTTTCAAAGGTCTCAAAGGGCTACCAGGACCACCAGGACCACCAGGTATGAAGGTATTTCTCTAATACAAATATCATGCTTTAATTTATTCATGATCTAAATGTAATAACATTTGTTTCTGGATTCACTGGGTTGAATGTGAATTATGCGCTTCTAGTGTTCCAGCAGAAAGTTGCTTTTGAATTCAACCAAAATGGAGGTGTTTAATGTGGTCAGCCTATATTAATTAGAAAATATTTCCTCATTTTTAACCTGCATGAATTTCCATTTTTTACTCAAAATTTTATTTTGTAATGACAGTGGTGGTTGTTGTTGTTAGGTGCTTTCTAGTCATCTCCGATTCATAGTGACCCTGTGTACAGCAGAATGAAACACTGAAATGACTATGTATTATAAATTACCATTTATTTGTATTACATATTTGAGAAGACATTAGATCTTGCTTCAGTATTTTTTAGATTTCACCTCTCTTTTTTTTTTGGTTTATTTTGTTTTTCAATAAGTGATTGGATTTGCAAAGTAATTTTTAAAATAATGAAAGTAATCCTCTATTTCATATGACAACCCCAATAACAAAATATATTACATGGCAATAAGACTTAAGTATTGCAGTTGGAAATACAGTACAACCTGTGAAAGCTAGAACCTGTATAAGGTGGAAACTTGTCAGAGAGAGAAAACGCAAATATTTTTCACTAAAACAAGCAGTAGAGAAGTGGTAAGTCTACACACTGTCGAAAGTGGAAAACTTGCAAGACCTGGAAAAACAAGGCAGTCCCGTCAAGTTCTGTCTGACACAGATTTCACTGTATGTTACTATTTAATAGCAGAGCCCTGCTGGCATGGTCCCAGGATGATTTTGATAGTTGAAATTCAAGCCTGCCAGTAAGAATCTGAGTTTCTCTAATTGTACATTTTCTGGGTCCCCAGTCCCCTCACCTGAAGACAGTGTTATTGTTAGGTGCTATCAAGTCGGTTCCAACTTGTAGTGACCCTTTGTGCAGCAGAACGAAACACTGCTTAGTCTTGCTGTGTTTGAGCCCGTTGTTGCAGCTGCTGTCGGTTCATCTCATGAAGGGTTGTCCTCTTTTTCGCTGACCTCTACTTCACCAAGCGCGTTATCCTTCTCTAGGGACTGATTCTCCTGATAATAGGTCCAAAGTACGTGAGATGAAGTCTCATTCTGGCTGTACTTCTTCCAAGACAGACTTGTTCATTCTTCTGACAGTCCATGATATATTTAATATTCTTCATCAATACCATAATTCAAAGGCATCAATTCCTCAGTCTTCCTTATTCATTTTCCAGCTTTCACATGGTAGTTGAAAATACCATGGCTTGGGTCAGACGCACCTTAGTCCTGAAAGTGACATCTTTGCCTTTTAACTTTAAAGAGGTCTTTTGCAGCAGATTTGCCCAATGCAGTACATCATTTGAGTTTTTGACTGCTGCTTCCATGGGTATTGTTTGTGGATCCAAGTAAAGTGAAATCTTTGAGCACTTCAGTGTTTTCTTGTTTATAATGATGTTGCTTCTTAGTCCAGTTGTGAAGATTTTTGTTTTCTGTATGTTGAGGTATAATCCATACTGAAGGTTGTAGTCTTTGATCTTCCTTAAGGGTCTTCCTTTTCTTCATGTGCTTCAAGTCCTCTTTGCTTTCAGCAAGGAAGGTCGTGTCATCTGCATACTGCAGGTTGTGAATGAGTCTTCCTCCCATCCTTCCTCCACTCAACAGGATAGCTAAACAAGTACTTAAACAAGCTGGTGTGGCTGCCCTGTACTCTTTCATCATGTAAGTACCTACTCTTTCCAGGAAGTGTGCAATTAATATGATTATGTGTTTGCTCCCAAGGCTCCAGAGGAGACCCAGGCAGCATTGGGAATCCTGGAGAACCAGGACCACGTGGTGTGCCAGGGAGCTTGGGGATCATGGGAGTGCCAGGTGAGGCACAGGTCTCATTGAGTCCACAAACTCATGATAGGTCACAGTTGTAGATTCTCTGTCTTCTTCATTTGTTATTTGTTTCTTTCTTTTTTTTCAGTTTTCCACTTGGTAGAAAGTCTGTGAAACATCTATGTTGCTTTTAGACTAATACACTGTATTCAACATGAGTGAAAACAGTTTGTGTAAAAATCATCCATTATAACTAAAAGTTTGTGTAAAAATCATCCATTATAACTACCTGATGTATTTGTGATTCTGAAGAGCCAGCTTCTTGGGAGAAGGGTGGTTTGTACCAGAGTCAGAATTAGAATAGTTCAAGATCCCTGTGTTTAGCCGTTTTACCTGATTTCTCTCCTAATTTCAGGTTCCAAAGGAAAGAAAGGAAATGTGGGATTCCCAGGTCTAGCAGGAAGACCAGGCCTCCCAGGCATTCATGGTCTCCAAGGAGATAAGGGAGATCCAGGGTTTTCGGAAGATGCAAGACCAGGACCACCAGGACCAAAGGTATAGACCATAGAAATATTCATGCTTGATGCTAGTATACCAAAAATCCAAATCAAACATGTTGTGACTCACAGTGACTGTATAGGATAGCATAGAACTGCTGTATAGGGTTTCTTATGGGCTATAATATTGACAGATGCAGACTGCCACATCTTTCGCCCACAGAATAGCTGGTGGGTTCACACTGCTGACCTTCCTGTAGCAGCTGGTCACTTAACTACTTTGACACCAGGACTCCTTGATGGTGGATGAGCCCCATAAATATCAGCAAGTATCCAGATTTAAGGTGGACAGAGGAAACTGAAAACATTCCTGCACATTCAGGAAGGCACTTGGGGTTTGTAAACCTATATCCACAACTGCAGATTCCTGGCTATTCAATGGCTGTTGCCTTCTGGCTCCACCCATCAACCAATTTCACCCCCAAGGAATTGCCCATAACAAGTGCATACATTTTAAGCTCTGACAGTCAGTGGCAATGATCACAGGCCCCCCAACCTGAGAGGCCAGTGTTTGTCCTTTTGCTGCAAAGCAACTGGTCTCTGTGCTGGACTCATCTCACACAGACTTAGCAAAATCAATTTCCAAACCTTGTCGTCAGAAACACTTGTCTCATGGAAACACAATAAAAGATACAAACTAAAATGAGTTGAGAACATCTTTAAAGTGCAAGCAAAATCCTAACATACATACTTTCATCTTTCTTGTGTTAGAGTTTTTTTAAGTATTTTCTTTCCATTGCACAAGATCTTTGTCTTGTCTCAGTGTCCTCAGTGTCTGTGTTGGTAGCAGTTTGATGTCAGTGCCCTGAAAGAATATTGCAGCAAGAGGCAACCAAATGTTTCTGTGGGACTTGGTTGTTTTTATTACATTTCTCTCCTTCTCCTTCTCAGCCTTCTTAGTGTACTTTCGATCCTTAGCCTAAGAGCCAGAGACGGACTGCTAGAGCATAATTAATAGAATTCTCTGTCAGCAGGGATTTTTAACCTGGGAATTCCATGAACCCCCATGGGCATCCACAGGATCCCAAGGAGCCAATTAATCTCCTGAAATTGTATGCAAAATGTTAGAATGCACCTTTTTGGAGAGGGAAAGTCTTTTGTTTCTCATCAGACTTTCAAGACTATATGACTGTGTGTGTGTGTGTGTGTGTGTGTATATATATGTATATGTATATATATATGTATATGTATATATATGTATATACATATATGTATATGTGTGTGTGTGTGTATATATAGATATAGATATATAGGTATAGATATATATCGATATAGATACACACACGCACACACACACACACACACACACACACATATATATATACTGTTCCTTAAGGGACTCTCTCTCTGACTCCTTTTTGAGCTCATCAAACACCAAATTTCCTAGATTTCTACTTCCGTAGTGATGCTGCCTCAGAAACCCAAGAAGGGGTTGCTATGAGTCAGGTTCAACTCGACGGCACATAACAACAGCAACAACAATGCTCTTCAAGTATAATTGCTGAAATCACAAGGAAGAAAAAATGTTGAAGCCACATAGACCCAAGAAAGCAATGTTTCACTTCCTGGAACATGTATTTCTTTGCCCTTTATTTTCAGATTAGGTCTTCAGAAAACCAAGGAGCGGCTCTTTCCACTGAGATCCTTTCATCTAGATTTAGGGAAGTCATAGGTAACCACAGAAGAAGTTGTTAGAACTGTGCATTGAACACAAAATGAGCTGGATTTATGCAACATGCTCATAAGTCATCGTAATTGGAATAGAGCAGTGCATTTTAATCAGCTACTGTGGTTTTGTTAAGTCACCATCAAATGTGCTCTATTGTAAAACTGGTATGCTAATGTAATAAATATTAAATCATTGAAAGGGTTTTTAACACCTGATTGGCATACATGTATCTGCACGCATAGCACTTGTGGGACACATGCATTTGGTTGATCCATTTCTTCCTTGCCTCCAGTTAGCCACCACAACTTGTGATTATACATGTATGGGATGCTATAATATCTATCTCCCCACTGGTTCTAAAGCTTCACAAAGGCCAAAAACAACCAGTGGCTGTTGAGTCGTCTCTGTCTTATGGCGACCCCACATGTGTCAGAGTGGAACTGTGCTCAATAAAGTTTTCAGTGGCTGATTTTTAGAAGCAGAAAGCCAGGCCTTTCTTCCAGTGTGCCTCTGGGTGGACTCAAACCTCTGACCTTTTGTTTAGCAGCCGAGCATGCTAATCATTTGCGCCAGCCATGCACTTCTTCCAGGAAGGCAGGGACTATATATGTCCTTGTTACTATTGTCTTCCCCGCAGGCATTGGCTCATGGACATGAGGCCTGTACAGTCCAAAGGACTAGTGCCAACAAGGGCCTTGTGCTTAGTTTAATGCTCTGCTGCTGCCATCCTGGATTTCTTTAAAAATTTTAACAAGGGACCCTACCCACATGGTCATTTTGCACTAGGCCCTCCCAATCTTGGGGCCAATCCTGTTCCCAGCTCCCAGCATAGTGCAGGCCCACAGCAGACACCTAATATGAATTGTTGAATGAACAGAGAAATAAAAGGTGACATGAGCGAAACAGGACTCACACTGAATTGATCACATATCTACTAATGTAAGAATTGTAAAGGTGTTTCCTGAATTTAAGGGGGATACAGGTTTGCCAGGTGACATGGGAGAGAAAGGAGAAAGAGGACCACCTGGCCCGCCTGGACATTCGGGGCCTGCTGGACCTGAGGGCATCCCTGGACATCCCGGGAGCCCTGGCCTCCCAGGTGAGCCTTGGCTTGACAGTTCTGAAAGCTGGAAGCATTTTATACCCCCTCAAATCATCTCAGTGAGTAGAACGCTGTCTGTGCTTTTGTACTAAAATTGCTTTTATTCAACTTTGATCTTCAGTTTCTAAGACACTGAGAAACAGTAGATTAATCAAAAGGAGTTTACTTTTGTTGATAAGCCCTTCTGGTGCACTGAATTCTAACACCCACTCCCACGCACCTAACTTCTGAAGTGCTTCAGTGAAGTCAGTCTAAAGACACAAAACATTAGTCAGTACTTCTGGAACGCATAGCCGTTCAGTCTAACAATTTCCTTCTTACGCCAGCTAGCCATCACAATTTGTAGGCATACATGTATGTGATCTATATCCCTGCTGGCCTCTGAAGCTTCATGGAGACAGAAACTGTATTTATTTTTTTAAAAAAAAAAAAAAAGGAAACCCACTACCGTGAAGTCAATTCCAATTCATAGTGACCCCTATTCATTTCTGAGGTGGTAAATCTTGATGGAAGTAGATTGCCTCATCTCTTTTCCTTCTGTGGAGCTGCTGGTGAGTTTGAACCACCAACCTTCTGGTTAGCAGTCAAATGCCTTAGGCACTGCACCAGCAGAGCTCTTTCAGGAACCATATGGATCTGCATTAATACTGTAATCCCTGCAAGATTCCTTTTAAAAATCGTATGGTGTTGTTCTTTTCCAGCTGTGTCAAGGTCAGTTGTTGGCTTTCATTCTTCTTAGCTTATAATTGGGGTTTAAGTTTTTGTTTTGTTTTATTTAAAAAAAAAAATGCCAAGTTGTTGGGTTGCAGCTTCAGGTTATTTACTGACAGATAATATTTAAACTCTCTTTTCTAATACTGAAAGGATTAATAATTTTGTTGTGAACTCCCAATGAAAACAGGTCAAATACTGAGCAATCCACCTGATTGGTACGCACGTACCTTTAAAGGTGACCTGGCATATCTCTGCTGTGATTCTCCGGACAAACAGCAGGGTGACCACTAGCAGGAGCACTTCCTTAGGTACCCAGAACCCATAGCTGTTGAGTCAATTCTGACTCATCACATCCCTATAGGACAGAGTAGAGCTGCACCGTAGGGTTTCTGAGGATAAAAATCGTTACCGAAGTAGATGGTCACATCTTTCTCCCACAGAGTGGCTGATGCCACTTCAAACCACCGACCTTTGGGTTAGCAGCAGAGCACTTTAACCACTGCACCACCAGGGCTCCTCCTTGAGCACTGCTGACTGCAAAAACTGACCATAGCAATCATTGTGTTCATTCAATCAATGACGTTTTTCTCTTTTTCCTCCCCTCTTCTTTTATAGGACATCCAGGTCCAGGTGGTGATTTGGGGTTTAAAGGAATCAAAGGCTTCCCTGGCCCTCCAGGAATGAAAGGCCCCCCAGGTTTCATTTTTGTACTCTGCATTTCCCTTTCTTGAAGGCAGTGTGTTTACTGCTGAGCTTGGGTTCTCTGTACACCTACAGCTGTTATGAACAGCTGCTCTTTAGAAGATTCTCCCGTTCACTCAGTGTCCAGAAAGAAAAAATGCAGAAAAGTCAAATTAAGTATTTATATTTACCTAATTCCAGTATCTGCCATCCTGAACATAACCAAAGTGATAATGCTCATGATAATATCGATCTGTTGGTCATTTTCATTCTAGACTTGGTTTCGTATAACTACAGAAACAATCAAAACCCATTGCTGTCAAGTCAATTCTGACTCGTGGCAACCCAATGTGTCACAGAAGAGAGCTGTTCCATAGAGTTTTCTTGGTTGAAATGTTTATGGAAGCAGACTGCCAGGGTTTTCCTCCACAGAGCCACTGTGGATTTGAACCACCACCCCTTAGGTTGGCAGCTGATTGCAGACCACTTGTGCCACCCAGCAACCCAGTTCAATCACATAACTACAGTTCTGAAAAATTAGCACCTTTCTGGTAGCATAGTGGCTAAGACACTTGCCT